TTTTTTTTTTTTTTTTTGTAAGTGATATGCAGCTGCGAAAACTGCCAGCTTACAACGCAGTGCAAAAAAGTCTCGAATGAAAAACATGTAAAAGAAGCATATGAGGTACAAATCGAACAAAGGCCTACATATGCTCGAAGCAGGCAACCTCAATAATGTGCAGTTTTAGTGATTATGACAGGTAGAGGTGGAAGACTGCTGTGGTCCGCACTCGGTCGACAAGGCGCGGAGGGTGGAGGGGGACACCAAAGGAACCAGTTTCAGTCCCCTCTCTTTCCATATTTCTATCCATTTCCCTCTCTATCCCGGCTCCATTCATCCAATCCACGAAAATATGGCTGAGTTCTTCGGCGGTGTGTATCCTCCAATCGTCGTTGTTCTGTTCTGTACAGTTCTGGTTGGGCCTCTTCTGCTTTTAAACATGCACCAGTTGTACTGGTTCCTCACCCATGTCGAAGTTGTCGGGGACCGGAATAATGATGACGGTGATGGTAGTGTTGATGGCGATGACAATAATGAGGACCGTATCTATCGGAGACAGTGATCGGTGGTGACAGATGATGTTGACTCACTGTTCATCACAGAATTTATACAAATACCTAAAATACCAAATCTTCCAGCCGGTTAATTTATATTAGCAAGCACACTCCGCACTGGAGGGCTGTGCAAGCGTAGGAATGGGAAAGGGAAAGAATGAACAAGAAAGCTGTGCAAAAACCAAGTGTTTGAGACCGGCATTAGAAGGACTGTTTGCTTATCCACAGCTCACTCCACTTCCTCTCTAACCCGGCAACTGCATTATGAAAACTTCCAGTACTTGCAGAATAGGCTCAAATTTTTGCAGTAAAAAGCAAGAACTTAGCCTTGCAATGCTATCCTAATAACTGTAAATCCTTTTCCGGAATTTTTCTTTACTAAAATGACTTTTTATGCGTTTTTGCATATATGTAAATTGCAAAAATTATGCGGTTTTGCATATATATAAATTGCAACCAGGCTGAAACGCACCAGGCGAGCCCGTGCGATCATGCGTTTTTGCACAGGAGTTGAAGTACTCAAGTCATTAACTGCATGAATGGTTGTTGCTTTACACCTACCTTTTGCGATCACTT